GATTGTATGTGGGCACATAAAAAAGTAGACATTTAACAGATTATTTTCTCATATTTCTTAACTCTATATGAACAGAAATGATGGTAGTACTTTAAGTCTATTTTTCTGCTATGTGAAAAAAAACGAGCAAAACGCGCCGGCGCGTTTCTGGTCCCCAGAGGGTTAAATCACCTTTCTTTCCCATTCTGACATTCAGTTTGGAGTTCAGGAGATTGTCTTGACCAGGACCACACCCCTAAATGCATTGAAGCAACTACCATGTGATTGGTTGATTAGATAATTGCATTAATGAGAAATTGAACAGGTGTTCCTAATAATCCTTTAGGTGAGTGTAGTTGTGGTAGTGGCATCGATGATGGGTTTATAGAAAAGAAAGGGGAGAAAAAAAAGATAAAAACGGTACTTATATGCTAGATATATGTGTAGTTCATGCCTTTAAAGCCCTTCACACAAATCATATAGCAACAGTTAAAGGTAATTCAAAGTAATTGCAGAATACATACATATAATATACACATTTACACCGACAAACATTACACACCCATACATGCATATATACAGACACACTCACACACACACACACACACCTTCATATAGTTATATATACCCATATACCTAATAATAGAAATATTAATAACAATAATAATAAAATGTCTTAGGCATACATACATGCCTTACACATACATAATATACTAACTAGTAAAATGCAAAACAATACCACGAATATATCAGATGTCTTTATCCTTTACATTTCCTGATATATTAATACAGGTTATAAGTATATTCGGCTGTATTCAATAGCATTGCATGATATGCGTGTTTTACGTAATATAGGTAATTGGTGAGGCACACTAATGTTTAGGTATTCTGTAATGGTGCCAAATATTTGTTTAAATTTAGTTATTTTGTGTTTGAGGATAGCTGTCTGTTTTTCTTTGATAATGGTCTATTAATAGCAGTTGCCATTGTGTAATACTGATTTTATTTATATTTATATTTATTTATATTTGTATTTCTGCTTACCGTAAACTAAATGTATTTAAGCAGACTTGTTTCCAGAAATTGACATCTGTGATTATGTTAAGGTCATTTTCCCATTGTTTAATAGGTATCTGCCTGATATGTTGTATCTGTATTTGTTAATATAGTGTATAATTTGGATGGTAATTTTTTTGTGTTGCTGATTTTTTATTTATTTTTTCAATAAGAGGTAGAGTTTTAGGAAGGTTGCCAATCTTAGTTCTAATAGCATGATTAATTTGTATGTAATAAAACTACTGATCTTTGCCAAAATGATATTTTTCTATTAATTCTGAAAAAAGAACAGATGATGTAAATGTGTGAAGCCAGCAATTTTCCATTTTTCATTAATAAATGAAGATTTATTAGTGGTAAAATCTGGGTTATGCCATATAGGAGAGAAGGAGTGTGGTGTTATTGGCTTATGAGTTATTTGATTACTTTTCCACCATGCTAATAATGTTTTACGGATTTTCATGTTATTGCATAAATTATGAGCCTTAATTACATCAGTAATGTATGGTAAGTCGGATAATGAAATCTTTTAAAAATCTGCCTGTTCTAAGTCTAACTATGGGTTATGGGTATGATTGCCGTTTATCCATTTGCAGAGATATTGTAAGAGATCTGTTGTGCAGATAATGGTGAAAGTTGGGTGCCCCTAATCCTCCCATATCTTTGTTTTTCTGTAATGTGGTAATGCTTATTCTTATTTTTTAATTTTTCCAGTAGAATTTATTTATCTTGCTATTTAATGTGTCTAGCCATTTCTTAGTGGGTTGGATTGGTATCGTTGTAAATAGGTAGTTAATTTTTGGTAATATGACCATTTTTATTGCAGAGATTCTTCCAATTCATCCAACGTTTTAAATAATCTTCTATATATTTAAGTAATGGAATGAAATTAAGATTAAATAAGTCTGATAGGTTGGGAGAGATGTGTATTCCCAAGTATGTGATATTGCCTATATTAAATGGGATATTCTGATGTTCTATACATTGTAATGTTTTATTTATTGGTAGATTTGTAGATTTTGACCAGTTTATTGTATAATCCTAATGATATTGATAACTTCTATGAGTGACTTTTCTGGTTTTTGTAGGTACAGTAAAATATCACCTGCATATAGTGAGATTTTATGAGTGATTTGTTGGAAAGCCAGTGATATTATAATTTTGTCTAATTGCGGCGGCTAAGGGCTCTAAGAATAATGCGAATAGGAGTGGAGAGAGTGGACATACTTGTCTGGTCCCTCGTTGCAACTGAAATGATAGTGATATGATGTCGTTAGTGATAACTTAAGCCTTGGGTGTACTATACAATGTTCTAATCCAATGAATGAATGAATGATTTTCCAAAACCAAATTTTTGTAACGTTGCAAAAAGAAAATTCCAATTGACTTTGTCAAATGCTTTTTCCGCGTCTAGTGATACAATAATTGTAGTATTTTTTGGTTTGCTGATATTCATGATATTAAATAAGCGACGTATGTTGTCTGATGAGTGACGTCCTTTAATGAAATCTGTTTGATCTGGATGAATAAGACTTGAAATAACTGTTTCTAACCGTGAGGCTATGGTTTTACTAATTATTTTTTTCATGGCAGTATTGATAAGGGATATGGATCTGTATCTTGTGCATAATGACGGATCTTTATTTGGTTTGAGTAAGACAGAGTTTAGTGCTGTGTTCATATGCTGTGGGATAGACGAGCTGTTTTTAATTTCTGCTGACATAAAACTGTGGTGAAATAGTTGACCAAAAATGTTTGTAAAATTCTGGGGGGAAGCCATTTAAACCTGGTGATTTATTGTTTGGGCAGTTTCTAATATCATCATATTAGAATGATTTCTGAAGGACCATCCATGTGACACTGAAGACTGGAGTAATGAGGCCATCCATGCCATGGCCTTGCCATCACATGAATAAATTACTTTTAAAAAATATTTTAAATTGTAATACTATATCACAATAAGACTGTTTGCCTTTACTGTATTTTTGAATAAATAAATGCAGCATTAGTGAACTTAATAATCTTCTTTCAAAAACATCAAAAATACTGACCCCAAACTTTTGAACAGCATTCTTTATAGAAACATATGATAACATATTTACCCACATTAAAGTTGCAGTAAGCAATTACTGAGAAACACTCTTGATATTCTCGACACCCAAACAAACACACCCCTCCCTTCATTCCTCCACCCCCAAAATAACAAACACGCTATGCAAAACAAGCAAACACTAACTGCTGGCGCATCAGACAGCTCGCGCAAGTGTGGATGAATCAGCTGTGATTCAACAACAACAGCATATCTTCTGTGAAACATAGCAAAAACCAACAGTACTCATGTTACGTGTGGAGCAGAAACAAAGCAACCTCAGTGTCCAATTTCAGGCCTTCCCGCTCTCTAACGTCTCTCCAGTGCTGGAATTTTTTTTCCAATATTAATGCGGTTCCTAGCACTTGTCTGGTCATTCCTCCAATTATATTCCTCTGACCTTTTTCTCTTTGGTATTATCTCAGCCATCTCTCTTTAGTTTCTACAGTCTTTCTACAAATGTCCCGCTTGAATCGGTCCAATCTACTTTGTTTTTTCTCATATTTACACCACCACTACTATGTCCAAACACATTTTTTTAGCACACACACACACACACAGAATATTTTGGCAATCTAGCAAATGTTGATTTCATTTTCAACAGCATTTATCAGAAATCACTTCTGCACCTTTAAGTACATATAATAATCAAATACAATAAATACATTATTAATTACTGTTAAACCTCAGGGAAGAATAAGCGATTTATTTTTAATATTGAATCATTTAATATTCAACAATATTATTGATCTGCCTGTATTGACACCATTATATGAGAACTGAACTGAGCTGGACGATGACATCATGGTTTTCTCCAAAGTGGCTATATATATATATATATAAATTAATATTTATATACACTACCGTTCAAAAGTTTGGGGTCGGTACGATTTTAAATACTTTTAAAAGAATTCTCTTCTGCTAACCATGGCTGCGCTTATTTGATTAAAAACAACAGAAATCAGTTATAGTATTAAATATTATTCCAGTGTAAATCAGCTGTTTTCTGTGTGAATATATAGTAAAGTGTAATTTATTCCTGTGATCAAAGCTGAATTTTCAGCATCACCAGTGTCAGTGTCTTCAGTGTCAAATGATCCTTCACAAATCAGTATAATATGAGGATTTGATGCTCAAGAAACATTTATTATTATTATCAATGTTGAAACAGTTGTTGGTCTGTCAGTTGTACAGTTTTTTTTTTTTTTTTAGGATTCTTTGATGAATAGGAAGTTCAAAAGAACAGCATTTGTTTGAAATAGAATCTTTTGTAACATTATAAATCTCTTTACTGTCCTTGATAAATAAAAGTATTAATTTCTTTCCTCCAAAAAATAAAAATACAATTCTCACTGACCCCAAACTTTTGAACGGTAGTGTGTATATGTATATATATATATATATATATATATATATATATATATATATATATATATATATATATATATAATTAACTAAATTAATAACTTTTTTTATTAATCATCACTGAATTTACTTAAGCTGGACTGTGACGCAATCTTCTTCTGGAAACAAACTCTCTTGCATTATTTTCCTGTTATCTCTGTAAAGCTGCTTTGAAACAATCTGTATTGTAAAAAGCACTATATAAATAAAGGTGACTTGACTTTAACCAGTTTATCTGGACTTTTGTCAACTTTACTTTTATAGAACAGTAGAGAGATGACAGGAAATGATAAGGGAACAGAATTGTGATAGTCTTGACTGAGGTTGTTAGATGTTCTGCAAGCATTTCCACCAATAAAGTCGAAGTTTGGTATGTAGCAATAGAGAAAACCCAAACGCCTACACTAACGCTGACTTTCTTGCTCTTGCTTTGCATGCACATGATTCTAATTAAATGAACAATTAACCTCACCTTGTGCCGCATGGAACATTCTTTACTTCATCTGTTTGTAGGGTTGTCTTTACGAAAAGAGAGAGGATGCAATAAGAAAAAGAAAACTGAGTTTAACTATACATAAAAAGTCTGCCTTTTACCTGTACAGATTTGAATGAAGTAATGAACGGCAGCATTAGATGAAATCCAGGGCCACTGGTGGCGGTCAGCAGAGCTCCACCTCTGAGAGGAGAGAAGCACACACAGTTATACAAGCCATAGAGTAGAGACTGACATGCTGTGCAGCATCTGCTTGGTTCTGGGAGCAGATTATTGGACAATCTTGAGCAACTGACCTGTAGTAAACACCCACATGTCCTTCCTCAATCTTATGAAGAGCAGAAAACATTGCGGCTCCTCCTATGGCGAGGATCACAGAGGCAATCGCTCCCAATGTCATTCTGAACAAAAAAGACATGCGTTAATAGTTAACCTAATAAAGTACATCTCCATGCTATTAATAGTAAACAACACGTAAAGTACCTAATGTGCATTGTATGCATAATTTACCATTAATAGCCTCAAACAGGAAATGTGTGGTATTGTATCTTAGCAAACAAGGGGAAAAAAACAGATCCCAGAACAACTTGATAATAATAATAATTGTTAAAATATATTGTATAGGCCTACATGTAATTTTTTGTTGTAGCCTGCAGGTTAAAAATGCCCAAACTGGTTTGCTGTGCATCAACGATTAAAACGATTGTTTTGTGTATTTTATGGGTAACAGCTAGCAACATTAACTTACTTGCGTGAAAACTACCGAGTTCACGACAGATTGAGAGAGCATGTGGAACACTGACATTGCTGTGACTTTGTTGATAAGAGGATTGAGGAAACCAAGCACAAATACCTGAATGCAAATGTCTGTTTTATTGACTGTATATTGTTTGAAAATACCACAACCGAAACCCTCAGTTTAATAAGCACTAGACAAGAGAGTTCAAAGCGCGTGTTAAACGGTTTTAGGGTCAGAATAACATACAGGAAGTCTGAATTAGTGTTCGGTAAATACATGACATGATTGTCCAGAAGTTCCCGCTGGCTATGGGCTTTCTCTTGGTGTTAGACAAACTAATCGATACAGTTCTACAAATAAGTTACTGCTGTGTCAAAATCACAATACTATCTTAGCGACAAGCAACAATTTAACCAATAGTAAACATTACTAGCTAAGTTAGCTTTAAAAGATGTGTCTCTAAAGAAAATACTTGAGACATCCAGTCAACCCGATTACAACACAGAAAAAAATACTTTGTGGATGAATGCGAACTAAAGGTGATTTTACCTAAATACGCACTGTAACTGCTTCGCGGTGACCGGTAGAGAGACACCTGCGATCGATGAGGAATATACAGCGACGCTCTTTTGCGTCTGACGTCACCACAGTTTGACCTACTTTTCCGCTGTTGTTCGAGTATCACACCATATGATGGCGACAAATACCTTCCTATCAGAGCAGGATTGTAAAGTGATAAAGACGAACTGATGAATAAACGGAATTATTTACTTTTAAGTGTCTCAGTGTTATTTTACTATTATTTATATGCTATTATAGTATTTAGACCTATAGGCTATTCATATTTTGAATTATGAATCCGTTTTAATTTTAGTAATTTTGTTATGTGCTTTTGTCATTTCTATTTTTTTTCAATAGCCTACCATATAGCAGGGTCCTGGAGATTTTTGCTCCAACCCTAATTAAACACACCTGAATAAACCAATCTAGGTCTGGTTAGAACGCTATGTCGGGTGAGTTTTTATCGGGGTTGGAGCAAAACCCTGCTGCAGGATTGTGGCTCTCACGACCGACGTTGGCCACTAGCGGCCCAAGAATTGTTCCATTTATTTACTCTTTTTTTTTTTTTTTCATGCAGTCTTAAGTAGGCTAATATTACAGTTTTTTCGAGAATTCTATGTAGTGTTTCGTATAGGCTATTTTTTATATTTTCTACAAAAATATTCCTAAATGATTTAGGCTATTTACTTTTAAATACATTTTCACATTAGAGTTTAAGCACAACAGTTCACACAAACCTGTGGCATGCATGACATTCAATTCATCAAATTCAAATGTTGAATGATGTCCACACATACACCACCACATAGCTTTAACATGACTTACGGCAGGTTTCAATTCTCTTTTAATGAGTGATTTCTTTTAAAGCAGTCGTCCCTTTTGGCACCTATGACTATGATATGTTTTATCAAACCCTATTTAAATGGGATCCAAGATAGACTTTGTTCTAAAACCCCATCATAAGATACATTTTCAACTCGATAGCTAATGATTCATGGGCCATAGTGCTTGGACCCCTATGATTGCTGCTTGTGGCTATATTTACACTATGGCATGAGATTTGTGTTTGACTCCAAATAAATGAAAGCTTATAGCTTTTTTGCAATGATTTCTGATCATCAAATGATGTTTAATGCAGACACAGTTCAAACAAAGTTCTGATTTTATTTTCGAGGTGAACAGAGGTATTTAGGGCTTAATGGCAGTCACTTTACATTGTGGGATCAGATTATATATACTTATAATCTCTTTTTATTATTATTATGAATCCCATAACTAGGGGCCATAAAAGTAAAAAAAAATGACACAGAACAAACAATTGTGAAAATGGAACTTAAAATGGAAACTTCTTGTTCCCTATATACAACATGCTTCATGTTTTGTCCTTCTGTTTCACTATTTGTTTTTGAGGTTCAGTGGGATGATGATGGTTGTAGTCAATTTAAAAAAATGCGCATCTCATTTGGCGTGTTTCTTGTATATGGAGATATACTCCTGCACATCATCAGGGGAGCCCAGCACTACAGGAACCCTCTGGTGGATTGAGTCGGGTTTGATGTCTAGAACATTTGTGGCTCCTGTTGTTGCCATACCTCCGGCCTGCTCCACGATGAACGCCATGGGGTTGCACTCATACAACAGCCTCAGCTTGAGCCAAGAAAGAAACTTGAAATCAGTTTGCCTCAAAATACATTTTAATATGACATTGATCTTTTTATAACACAAATGCCTTGTGATGTAGTTAGCATTTCAAAGCATTCACTGTTTAACTATGTTTTTTTCTCACCTTGCCCTTGGGGCTCTTGACATTAGCAGGGTACAGGAAAATTCCACCATAGACCAGCGTCCTGTGCACATCAGCTACCATGGAGCCCACATAGCGCCCTCCATAGGGTGAGCTGCCATCCTGCAGGTCAGAGCAAGAACATTATCTTCACAGTCAGTGGAAGAGCCTAAGAGGCGTATTATGTTGGCTAAAAATATTCACTGTGCTGAATTGGACAAACGTTCTATATAATGTTCTATATATACTGCACATTCAAAAGAGAAAAAGGTACTAAGAAACTATTTTAGTCAAAAATTTGCATTTCAATTTCCCAAAAATTTACTTGAGTGAAAGTAAAAATGTTTTCATTTAACTTTAATGGACTTACTTTTTTTATGAATAAATTAACAATTTTATTCAGCAAAGATCCATTAAATGAACCAAAAGTGACAGTATAAATACATTTATAATGTCACAAAAGATTTCAATTTGGAATAAATGCTGTTTTGGACTTTCTATTAAACAGAGAGTCCTGGAAAAAAAAAGTATTATGTATTACACTAAGCAGCACAACTGTTTTGAATATTGAATCTTGAGCATCAAATCAGCATATTAGAATGATTGCTGAAGGATGATGTGACACTGAATCCTGGAATAATTGCTTCTAAAATTAGGCTTTGCCATCTTTGTAATTCATTTCATTTTAAAATATACTGAAATTTTTTTAATTTAAATTGAAATAACATTTCACAATATTGCTGTTCTGACTATAATTTTTGATCAAATAAATGCAGCCTTGGTGTGCGTGAGACTTGGGAACCCCCCCCCCCCCCCCCCCCCCCAAAACATAAAAATCTTACTAACTCCAAACTTTTAAACGGCAGTCATTTATCTTAAGTCTTTAGTTTAGACTAGACTCTACCATGATGTTAACTAAAATCACCACAGTTACTAAACAGAATGATACGATATAATTCTTGGATGTTTTTTTATAGCTCGGACCCTGAGATATGCTCAGAATCTGGGGGCTCTTACCTCTGGGAATTTCTTCTTTTGCAGATATTCTGTGACATCTGGGTAAAAATGCTGTGCGTAGCCTTCATTGAGACTGTATATCTTTCCCTTCTTCTTAATCCTGACATTCTGGTCCACAAGTATGAACTCACCGATGGCCTAATGATGGAGGAGGAAAGGATGCAGAAGATTAAACTTTTAAGAGGTAATGCATTGAAAGTATATATACTTCAGCATATAAGGTATGTAACATAATGCTTGCTGACATACAGGATCAAGCATAAAGCAGTTGACTCCCTGGCCTGTGGAGAGAACCATCATGGTAGCACTGCCATAGAGAGCATACCCTGCTGCCACAATGTTTCTGCCGCTCCTCAAAGCATCCTTCTCTGAGGGCTCATCATCAGTTTCCTGGAGATCATGTGCACACAAACAAACAAACAAACAAAAGCATTTATTTAGATGACTGTAAAGATATCTGTTTGAAGTGGATCTGAAAATCTGGACTGTACCTTTCTGTAGATTGCAAAAATGGTTCCAATAGAAGCTAAGCAGTCAATGTTTGAAGAGCCATCCAGGGGGTCAAAGCAAACCACATATTTGCCCTGGGCGAACACAAATGCATTAAAGTAGCTAGTTAATACTGATGGATTTAATGAAGCAACAAACAAAATGATTTCACTGACCACAATACAGACCATTACAAACAAGTAGGATAATTCACATATTACTTTGGCAAAAATTCAGACTAAAATTATATTAAAACAAAACACCCGCATGTTATTAATTAGATTTTAATTTTAAATTTAATTTTACTTTTAATTTAAGGTTGGTCAAAAAAAAAAAAAAAACAACAACAACAATGACACACCCTTTTCTCTGGTTCTACAATAATGGCCTTCTCATCTTCTTCAGACACCAAAACACAGGATGTGAAGGAGGATTTAATCATGTTTATAACAAGATCATTGGACAGGACATCCAACTTTTTCACTTGGTCACCTGTAACATTTGTGCTCCCGGCAATTCCATAGCTGAGAAAGAGAGATGGAGATTTATAACAGTGATTGATTCATGCAGAATTGTGTGGCTTATGCTTTTCCTCTTACAGTGCTGATAACGGGAATGAGTCGACCTTTGCCCCTATATTTCAACAAGAGACAAGGTCTAATCATTGCCTCAGTCTGCAGTGTGTTTGCAAAGTAGCTGAACTGATCAGCCACTACAACCAACAGTGAATTGAAGTATAGTATATATATATATATATATATATATATTCAATTGTGCAAGCATGATGCATGTTTTGCACAGATGAAAATTAAGGTTTAAACTATTGAGAAGGTTCTAATCAATGGGACACCAAACCAAATTGAATATTCTGGGAAGTGGTAGTGTACATTGAATACCGCACTTTTTTGTACTATAGGATGCAAAAATTAACGGTCTAAAAATACAGTCATATACTGTTATTTAATATGGCTACACTTTCTGTGAAAGTCTAAATGTTTGCGTGGTGAAGATGCAACAATAGGCTACTCACAGATTGGCAATCCCGGCTTTTCTGACAGCTGTGGAAATGGCTTTGACGGCTGTGCACATGGAGTTGAGAAGGGTTGTAAGCTCCCCCGTTCCTTTGGCTTTTCTGCCTTCTTCCAAGACAAACCTAGTGAGGGTCACCACATTGGTATCAAATGCACCTCTGTCTGACATGATGACTGACTGCTGGAGCGTGAAACCTCCTCTGAGTTCCTGCAGATTCCTGTCAGAAAGGGTGTATTAGAACTTAGTCTAGATATTTGACTGGGTTTAAAGGGGGAGTGATGGTAGTTTAGCCAATTGCAGGAAGGGTTAGAAGGGAGGAGTGGTTTTTTGCACATGTAGTTAATGGAGGTGAGGGCCTGGCCGAAGTCCATAGAGTTTATCACAGATTTTACCCTGAGTGCAGTGGGACAGTCAGTCAGTATCAATGCAGCTGATTGTATCGGTTTCACTGATTTGTGATTGACTGTTTAACTTTTTGCTCTTCACATCTATATGCAGCAAATTTGATCTACAGTAGATCTTAGTTTTAAGATCTGTTCTTACAATGAAGTATTAAAAAGGATGGATGATGAAATCACTGAATATAGCTATTCTACTCTACAGACATTATTTTGCAACATTCATTTATCTGTTTACCTAAAGATCCACATATGGCATAGCTGTTGTGACTAATGATTGATCAGCAGTTCAGAACTGTCAGCAGAAATAGTTCATGTGCACAGGATGTCCGTGATCAATGTGCAGCTCAAAGGTTAGTGTGCTTTGAAGGTTAATTGGCCGCATAACAGTGGGGCAGTGGGATTCTTACACAAGATTATAACAAACTTACATTAAAAAAATATCAGGTTCCTTAATGTTTCTTCTCTAATCTTCGCTGCATTGATTTCCACATCTATAGGTCAGTTTGAACAAAGGGCTAAACATGATGGTAATGTACAAAAATGCAAATGATGCAAATAATAATATAAGATAATTAAAATCATGTTTTACTATAAATAATGTGGGGAAAACAGGAGGTTCATCTTGGCTCTTGATGAATACATGATTATTCAATTGATCAATGTAAGTTCATTTGTTTATCTACAAAATAAAATGCCCATGTTTTTGCTACCACATTATATAAATAGAAAGAAAGAAAAACAGGACTAACAGAACCAGCCTCGCTTGTCAGAGGGTTGATTGGGTCTGTCTCTTTACCTTTAAGAGAGTTGTACACTACTTCCGGGTTAGAGGGCGGAGTGGACAAGTCAAAACATTCGTAAGTAACGCGTTGTTGCAACAGAACCACAATCTGTCAAGTGATGCTGTCGTGAATTAATTACTATTTAAGAATCAGGTTGGGCTTTCTGGACCTTATATTTTAACGTATGTGTTCAGCCGCACGCGCAAACATAATCATTCTTCAGAAAACTGACTGCGTTTAGTGGCTGCCGCTTTGTGTTTTTGTGATTCAGACATGAGTGTGACCTGTGCAGCTGTAAAACAGTCATCTGTTACTTCAGCTCCAGACGGTTGTTGGCTGCATTTGCATTACAAGTGCACTTGACCTGATTGCAGTTAACTTACAGGTTCAATATGAGACGACTAACGTTACCTAGAAATTTACAGCCGAATTAAGCCATTATTAATGCAAAGACAATCATTTAAGATGCATTTATTTTAATCACTTTAACCACTTTAAAATAATTGTAGATATATCCGTTTGAATAAAATCTTTAGCCTTAACATTTCAACGAAACTCATTCAGTCTATTTCTGTTCTTTGATTTCAAAGGCAAATATACAATATAGCGTTGTTCAAATATATATATATTTTTGTCAGAACCTTTGCATTGAAAAAGCAGTGTAGTATTAATACTCTTTGAAATCAAATCATGCAATGATCTTATAAAATAAATAGGTCTAATGCGTGAATTAGGTACCCAAATTATATTGTAGGCTATATAATACCAATACCTTCAAGGTTTGGCCTCAGAATAATATTAAATGTCCTTATTATGTCTTTAACGTAAACGTATTCCTAAATTATACGTTTTGGTAATGACATGTAAGATAAAATGTGTAAATGTGCCTTGTGTTGGAGTGCGTGATAAGCTGAAAATAACAGAACTTCTTTTGAGTTACAATTGGCAACTTTTATTATTAAAAAGTTTCTTGAAACTGCGTGGCTGTTCTTTTAATCTTTAGATTTTTTCATAGTATTCACAGTTGTCAGTTTCACAGCAGCTGTTCCTTTTTAATTGAAAGAATTGATTTAATAAATGAGTTATTGTTTGTTTTGTCAGGATGGCCTCCTTCGGCTGGAAGCGTAAGGTGGGGGAGAGAGTTTCCAAGGCGACGGTGGAGCAGTTTCAGCAGGACTCAGAGAAGGTGGATGATGAGGGTGATGTGGAGAAGGAGGGAGTTGATTGGTTGCACGTGATCAAACGGCGGCGAGAGGTGCTGCTGGAGGATTGTGCTGCTAAGAGCAAGAGACTAAAGGATGAAGGAACGCTGCTCGCCGAGCAGGGCAGGTAGGTGTTTGTGTGCTTGTTAAATCCAAATGTCTAATTCCAGCAGCCTTGTGTTTTAAAGTCAGCATGAAGCAGAAGTTGCGATTTGTCTTTTCTTCCCTATTGTGATTTATATTCTGGTGAATCGGCTTCTTGAACTAGAAAAAATGTAGGGTGGGACTTGATTTTGTCCACCAGTAATTGATTGGATGGTTGGATCATTGTGGCTTGCTATTTGCTGTGATCGGATGTGAGTGACAGGTTGTACCGCCCTCGTGCCAGTAAACACGTCATCAGAGAAGAGAAGTCACTGCAAGTGGGAAGGGAAGTTATTTTGATTAAAGATAATGAGGGCACGTGAATAATTATTATTATTTTTAAATATATTTATATATATATATAAATAACGGATAAATCGCTAATAATAAAATCTGCATTATTGCATAAAAAAATAAGGTGTCAGTTTTGACTCCCTTGCTACATAGTATACTGTATATGGGGTCAATGACATGAAGTGCATATTTTTGTGTCCAAGTGCATTATTTCCTTTTAAAATAATTTGACAAATTCATGACATATATCAATTTATTATACTATAAAACCTATTTAGTTTGAATTCATTTTTAGTTCAAATATTCATGTTCATATATAGTTCATATTATTTTATGTTTTGTTGTCTTAGTTCACTTTAAAATTAAAATTAGCCCATGATTTACTCACCTTCAAGCCATCCTAGGTATATATGACATTCTTCTTTCAGACGAATACAATCAGAGTTATATAAAAAAAATATCCTGGCTCTTCCAAGCTTGATAATGGCAGTCAATTGCAACCAACAGTTTGAAGCTGAAAAAAGTGAATCCATCCATCATAGATGACCTCCACATGGCTGCGGGGGGTTAATAAAGGCCTTCTGAAGCAAAGCGATGAGTTTGTGTAAGAAAAATATTCATATTTAAAACTTTAAAGTAAAATGACTAGCTTCCGAAAGCCAAATTCAAATTAATCTTTTGATAAATGCACTTTTTGTGTACATGTTTTGTACATTGTACTTATATTTAAAAAACACCTGCATGTAATTACATCTGTAATTAATTTCTGTAATGACATCTATAATTACACTGTTGATCCTTTCCTTAACCCACCCTTAAACCTAACCGTACCTGAATCCCACCTCAATAACAGCAAAAGTGTTTTGCAATACAACATCAACACAATAAGTACATTGTTGTACCTGTTTTTTTTTCATTGTATTTTTTGTAATGGAAGTACATAATAGTTAATGACACCTAATATAAAGTGTGACTAAGCTATCTGCTTGATTTGAAATGATAGGTCCCATTTTAAGATACACGTAGGCCTGTGAAAAACTCTTCTCTCGTCTTACCTGATTTTGTCTGTTCCACACTCTATAGGCAAGTGCCAGACACAACCCTTCCAGGAAAACAGACTGACAGCTGTTTCGCCCTTTACGGTTATTCATCTGTTAGTTGTTTTTTAAGTAGGTCAATGCATTGGCCTGCAACATGACACAGCAGTTATTGTCAATGATAAAAACAGTTTGAATTCATCAGCCAATAATATAAGGGCCTGGTCTTATGTCAGGGGTAGGGAACCTACCATTTTTAATGCATTTTTTTTTGAAAGAGCTAATGCAAAAACTAATGTTTTACTATTACTATTATTATTTTACTAAACTCTTTTTTTAAGCGCATTCTCTGCAAACCCCTGCTGTGTGAACTGGACTGGACAACAGTGCAAAAGAACCACTCTTGGTTCTTTATAAATATTTTATAAGATCACATGTGAGTGTGTTTTTGTTAAATGTAGTGTGATATTAAAGTGTTGAAGGGTGCATGATTTAAAGTGACAGAATGGATTATTATGTTGGGGCAGTCATGGCCTAATGGTAACAGAGTTGGACTGGTGACCCAAAGGTTGCTGGTTCGATTCCAGTACCGGCAGGAATATGACTGAGGTGTCCTTGAGCAAGGCACCTAACCCCCAATCGCTCCCCGGGCGCCACTCAAGGCTGCCCGCTGCTCCGGGTGTGTGTATCCACGTTTGCAGTGTGTGTGTGTTCACTACTCACTACTCTGCTCCTAATGTGTGTGCACTTACTTGGATGGGTTAAATGCAGAGGTCAAATTCCAAGTATGGGTTACCATACTTGGCCATCACGTGTCACTTTCACTTTCACTTTCACTCTGTGCTTCATTTTCTTTCGGTAACTTACAGAGATGGAGATATGAGCTGTGTCTGTCATCTGAAGGTTTCAGATTCAGTCTCTATCTTCCATAGAAGTCAAGCCTGACATCGTCATACTCAGATTCTAGTCAGAATGTGAGTCTGATACTGCTCCATTGGGCTGTGATTATGGGGCGTGTTTCAACCGAACCAGGAAAAAAATGCCTCTGCACTCAATTGGATAGACCGAATCCCTGAGGAAGGACGGCAAAAACATCTTTCCGATCGACAAATGCCTTGATTGCGGTTCTCTGTTCCTCTTTTAAATGAATGCACAGTCTAGATCCTGTCTAGAACAGGCGCGATGGCCTAAATACTCCAGTGGCAGCCATTCTTTGGGTGCTTCTCAATATCCCTCCTCGTCTCCTCTCTCCTCCGTCCTCCATCCTATGACCCGGAAACCAATCAAGCTCAGCCATCTTGAAGGACATCTCAATTTCTAATTGCACAGCGAGGAGTCGAGGATCGAGGAGTGAGGAGGCTTCCAGAGGAGTCATGAGC